GGGTTGCTTACACCTACTTGTAAGTCCAGCTCCTGGCAAGTCAGTGCCCTCTGCTGGCCTCCATCAGCACCTGCACGTACATGTATAGTGTCCCCCTCCCCAGGCACACACAAACACATAATTAAAAGTAAAATAAATCAGAAGCTGGAGAGATGGCTCAGCAATTAAGAGCACTGGATGCTATTCCAGAGGACCCAGATTCAATTCCCAGCACCCACATCGTGGCTTATAACTGTCTATAACTCCAGTCCCAGAGGATCCAATGCTCTCTTCTGGCTTCAGTGGGCTCCAGGCACACACATGGTGCCCAGACAAACACTTATACACATTAGCCAAAGTAAAAATAATTTTAAAAAGAAATAAAATAGGGTTGGGAAGACGAATCAGTGGTTAAGAGTAGTGACGACTGCCCTTCTAGAGGATCTGGGTTCAATTTCAAGCAATCATGTGGTGGCTTCTAACTATCTGTAACTCCAGTTCTAGGAGACCTGACACCCTCACACTGGAACACGTGTATGCAAAATACCAATGCAGGTAAAATAAAAATAAATACATTATTTAAAAAAAAATAGTGCTGCCGGGCAGTGGGGGCACACACCTTTAATCCCAGCATTTGGGCAGAGGCAGGCAGATCTCTGTGAGTTCGAGGCCAGACTGGTCTACAAGAGCTAGCTCCAGAACAGCCAAGGTGATTACACAGGGAAACCCTGTCATGAAAAACCAAATAAATAAATAGATAAATAAATAAAAATCAGTGCTAGAGGGTTGGTTAAGAGCACTTGCTATCTGGCAGCGGACCTAAGTTCAGTTCCCAGCACCACATGGAGGTTCACAACCAGCTGTAGCTCTAGTTCTAATGCCCTCTTCTGACCTCTTTGGGCACTCTGTTGTGTAGCTGTGGTTGTTCTAGAATTCACTATGTAGCCCAGGTTGGTCTCGCACTCACAGGAATCCACCTGCCTCTGCCTCCCAAGTGCTGGGATTAAAGGTATGTGCATCATCATCATACCCAGCAAAAATAAATCTTTAAAAACTTAAATAATTGAAAAAATCAAACCCTACAATTGATCATTTATTCCCATTGTGTGGCATTGTTAGCATCTTTGGGAGTCTACCTTTTTTTTAAAAAAAGAAAACTTTTTACTAAAATTTATTTAATGTACTTGTGAGTATCTGCCATGTTGTCACGTATGTGCAAGTGCTTGCGGAGGCCAGAAGAGGGTTCCAGATTCTCTGGAGCTGGAGTTACAGACACTTGTGAGCCACTGGATGTGGTTCTAGGACCTGTACTTGGGTCCTCTGGAAGGGCAGCAAGTGCTCGTAACTGTTAAGCCATCTTTCCAGCTCTTCCACTAAAACTAAAGAACTTTCTTAGCTCATGAAATTCATATAAGATTCAAACTTTATTGATCACAAATACATTTATATCAGCCACAGTCAAACCTGTTTGTTGACATAACTGTTTGTGTCTTTATTCACACATAATAGGAGATGGCTCACCAATAGTACATATATCCATCAAAGACAAAAGCATTTATTAATTTGATTGCTACCTGCAAAACTAGCTGATCCCTAACCTGGAGGCTGAATTATCACTAGAATTTTTTTATAGCAGCTTAAGAATCGAGGTCTGTTTCACTAAAGACAACCCTTTCAAAGCTAATTAATTGTTCATTAGAAAGATTTCAGAGGTTGCATAAAGGGAGTAGGAGCTAGCCTAGTTAGAATTTTAGTAACCGAGGCAACCAGATTCCTAACAGAAACAGAACCAGAGGATCTCAGCAGAGGATCTCAGGTGGATCTTCTTTCCAGGGGAAATGTGTAACCGCAAAGGCAAGCTAGAAAAAAAAAAAAAACTATTTGAAGTCTTACTGGAATTCGGTTGTTGAGAAGAGGCCAAACCACTGAATGGTTGAGACAAGTGCAGTTATGGTTTTAGCAGGCTGTGAAGGTATTATAGTCTACCAAAGAACATATCTGTGAAAGTTAAAAGTATCTGGGTTTGGCTGACTGAAGTTGTAAGAGATTGTACAATGCCAATAAGTAATACAGGCGTGAAAATGTAAAGAATTTCCTTAAGGGGATAAAAACTATATAGATAAACAGAGCTATGTTAACTAAAGTTACCAGAAGGTTCATACATTTACCTGTGTTCTATTTATTTTCTTCTTCCCTGTTTATTCCCCTAAATATATATATATATATATATATATATATCACATGGGATTAGAGAGATAGCTCAAGAGCATTTGCTGTTCTTGCACAGAGGACCAGAGTTCAGTTCCTTCGGATACTACTTACTACTTTTCTCTCCTTCACCGCTTTCCTACTTCGTTTTCTGTCTTCTCATCCCCCGACGGTCTCCCCCTCCTTCCCGCTCTCTCGGTCTTACCCTAGTTTGGAAATGCAGCAGAATTCTGAGTCTGCCACCACTGGGTTCTAGGAGCTGTCACTCTGCGGTAGGCAGAGTTTCTATTGGTTGGGCTGGAGGCGGGGACCGGAGCTCACTATAAAAGATGGGGCCGGTCAAGGCGCGCGGATCTGCTGACAGGACTTGGTCAGAAGGGGTCCCTTCAGCAGAGCTTCAGCCAGAGCGCCCAGGGCAGCACGAAGCAGCGGCTCGAAGCGCGCACTTTCTCCTCCAAGCGGGCTAGGGCGCCTGCCCCGGAGCCCGGCAACTCTCGGCCACGGTCCCCGCATCCCCCGAGGACCCTTCGCCTCACCTGCGCCTGCCACGCCCCGTCCGGCCGCCGGGATGAGCGAGGTGAGCCGTGCCGCACCGGGTAGGAGGCTGCGGTTTCAGGTCCCCGGGAGGCGAGGGGTACTTTCTGGGTGAACGCCACTGCCCCTCTAGGGCAGCTCTCAATCTCCCGTCTTCCTGAAGCTACTGGAAAGGGGGTGCTTTAGCCTACCAACTGTCGATAACGCTTTGGGGAGGGGGTGACTGGAGTCAGCTGTAGGCGGGAACTGAGCTCTCGGGGTGATAAGCTGTCTCTTGGGGTGCTAGTCCTCCGCATCTATCTTATTGCTCCGAGGTTACCATGGTTTTCCTTGCTGTCCTCACTTCGGTTCTGTCCAGCCTACCCTAGCATTGTGTTGTTCTCCATAGGCAGCAGCCAAGAGCTCCATCCCTGGCGCTTTTCACTCATTCAGTGAGGAACGTTGGGGTACCTGTCCTGCCTCCCATGAGCATTGGGGTAGAAGCAAGTCCAATCCCTGGGGAGATGGTCTCTTACAGAGTAGACCTCCATCTTCAGTGCCTGCTACATCTCGAAGTCTTCGGACAGGTTCTGTGGTGTTCATCAGAGCCAACCCAGTCCATTTAATTGGTTGACTCATTTCAAAGAACACTGTCCATGGTAAGACTTTGAGAAGACCTGTCCTATTGTCTGACTTGATTTGTGGCACCCCCGGGGGGTGCCACATCCTCCTATTACGACGAGGACTGCCGTCCCAGGTGATGTTGGTATGAGCAGTAGCATCTCATGCTTTCCTTCTGTGCCCTCTTTCCTAGTGAGCATGTCCTTGTGTTCAATCTGTTTCTCAGGAATCTGCCAGTCCCTTGTTCTGCTACTTACTCAGTCTGAGGCCTTAGGAGCGGCCCAGAATTTGTCTGTGCTTCTACTTTTTCTCTGTAAAACGAAGGTAATACTGATTGTTCGAAAAGATTAAATTTTATGTGCAAAGTACTTTAAACACTACCTGGCTCTGAATAGGCATTCAATCTGGAGTCTGGATTAGCTATTGTGGTGTGTGTGTGTTTCAAGTTAGCTGCAGAAACTAGCATAAGAATTCCCAAGATTGCTTGGTGATAGAGCACTGGCCTCTATCATGAGTGAAGTTCTGGATTCGATCTCCAGTAGTGAGCAAGAGGAGAGAGAAATGGGGGGGGGGGGGTGGGGGGGGAGGCAGCGCGCGAGCCGGCGGAAGAGAGAGATATGGGGGAGAGAGCAAGAGAGGCAGAGAGAGAGAGAGAGAGAGAGAGAGAGAGAGAGAGAGAGAAACAGACCCACACACAGAGAGGCAGAGAGACAGAGACAGAGAGAATTCCCTGCAGCCTGGGCCCCGGTTTAGATAGGAAAGAAGAATATCTTCAGTAGTTCTGCCGACTCCTACCAAAAGTTGTCACCTAGGGTGTCAATTAGTGCCAGCTGCTATGCTGTCTTGGTTGCCATGTCCACTGAATTTATCCTGGGAAATCCAGTGAGTCTGGTGGGCTGCAAAGGAAAGACAATGGCTTCCACGTACCTCAGCTGGTTGTGATTGTGACCGTGGCAATCTTGCTGAAAGAAAGAAAATAATAATAAAAATAAAAGGAGTGACTTTCTCTGGCTTTTTAGCTCTCCCAAGAGAAGAGGGGCTCCGGGGGGCCCGCCCGCTGCAACCAAAGTCTAGGGCTCAAACCACTCCTTCCACCATTGTGCTTCTAAATCTGACCATTTGAATCCAAGCCATCCCCCTTGGGAGCTTATCTGAGGCTCTGCTGACATGGTCTGTGGTTAGTTTGTGCCTATGAGGAGAGACACATGGCCCCTGGGTAGGACAGGCATTAGAGGGCTTTGAAACGGATCTTTAGGGGTGTAACAGTGGTGTTGCACGGTAAGGAGAACAATCTGGTGTGTGCTCGGGGAAGTCATACCTTGGGGCCACTCTTAGACAGCAGCTGAATTTAGCTAGCCTTAATTAGGGACTCTGCAGGAGAAGAGTGGGATTCTTTGGTGGGGACTCTATATGTAAGACTGCCCAGCCTCCTAAGCTGTCAGAGAAAAACGGTTCCAGCTAGCAATTTAGCCATCCAAGTTGCCTCCTAACACAGAGAGGAGCCTTGCTTCAGGGATGATTATTTATAATATCCAGAGGCAGCCACCTGGGTGTACACAGAGACCAGCTGTTTTGAAATTAGAGCCCCAAGGGGGGGGGATCTCTGTTTCCCCACAGTCTTAAACCAGTCTGTTTTCTTCCTCTTGTAAAAAAAAAAAAAAACAAAAAAAACAAAAAAAACTCTGATAAAAGCGGAAGTGTTGCCCGGAGCTCTAGAGCTCTGGGGAGACTCCAAAGGGCTTTACTTCTCTTAGCCCTACCCCGCGGATCTCTTCCTTCAAGTTGATGTGCCCGGGCCAGGAAAGCCTTGTACCCTGAATCTTATGTAAGTTTCACCTCCCCCACCTGCTTATTTCCTTGCTTCAGAGACACTGCACAAAATGGGATTTGGGATGTCTTTAACAAACTCACGTCTCAACTGAGGGACGACTAGAGGTGACGGGGGTGGGATGAGGGCTCTTGACCAGGGCGACTGGAAGTGTGAGGGTCCTGGTAGAGCTGCTGAGCAGGACTGCTCTCTCTGTCTTCCCTCGGTGGCCCTTTGCTGTCACTCAGTACTGCAGCAGAGCGGTTCCCTGTGTCTACACGCTCCTGTGCTGAGGAGCTGCGGGGACCATCGCCAGCTTGTCTGTGTTCACAGCTGGAGGCAGGACTTGATTGCTGTGAATCATAGTCTGTCTCCTGTCGTTTAATAACTTTCCCCTGGTTCCTGTGAAGCTTGACTATAGGAAATCCATCAGTCCCCAGGGGCTCTTTCCTCTAATCCCTTTTGATGCAGCATAACTGGCTGCACGGAGCAGAACTGCAGGGTTTTGCATGTTGCATTTTCTCATCTGTGAGAAACTTGACTGGAAGAATCCGCTGGTCCAGCAGTCACTCTCCTGAAAAGGGAGCCACGGCTTCTGGTGACAATCCCCCACAGTTCCTCTCCTGAGTTTTAGCTGGCAGGGGACAGAACAAGGGACAGGTCCTCTAGATCATTAGAAGAGAACTTGAAACTGCTGCCCTCTCCTTTGTTATTCTTTTGAGGTGTTCTTACCTAACGGAAACAGATATTGCTCTTTAGGGATCGCCCCACCCTCACCCCACCCCCTGCTGTGTACACCCATCTTCACCTGCAACCTTCCTCACAAAGGGCATTCATTAGAGCATCTTCTGTGAGCCAATTGTTAGGGAGCCTGTCATCCAAGTTTCTTTCTCTCGCGCTCTCATTGATGGTTTATTATTACTATGGTTAAGTTGAACAAACAACATAGGACCGGCTACTTATTATTAGAATTTTTTTTTTAATCTCTGGAAATCTGTATTTCAAAACAGGGAAACCAGAATTTGGTTCACAACTTTGTTCATCCTTTTTTTTGCTCACCCATTTAGGTTGCCAGCTTTAGCGGCTTGAATAAGAATTCTGGTGGTAAGGAGTTGATGGCTTTCTCGTCTTGTGATGCGGCGGGCAGGCGTCTAAAGATGACTCATTCTTCCAAATGGCAGCCACCATCTCACAGACTGTCAAGTTTCTGTGGGGCACGTGACCATAGGGGGTGTGGTGGGTGTGTCTGATGCATCTCTCCTGCCTGTCTGTGGAGGGTTCTAATAGAGGACAATGATGGAGTCTGTAAACCTGGCTAAGGGGAAGAAGATAAACCAACAAGCTGTTGATTCTGTGGATGTTTACTGACTTTTTTTTTTTTAATGTTCTACTTTTCTAAATTTCTAAGTTGTTTTTTTCTAAGTCTGGTTCATCATAGAAAAATGCAACTTCATTTTGCAGGAATTCTTCAAGGTAGAAAGTCGGGTATATCTTCTACAGGATAACCCCAAAATGAAATATCTAGATGGTATAGCGGCAGAGTTTTAGATTTGCTGAAGAGCTCTACAGATCATCTGGCCCAGTCTTCTTATTTTACAGGTGAAGAACCTGAACCCAAATTTCATTGAGTTTGTGCAGTGCTAAAAGGCTAGGGCACATTACTGCTGCTGCCTCTGTCCAAATGAATTTTCTTCAGGACTCTTTTAACTTGTTACTCCGTTGAATCCAGAGGAATCTGATTCACATGCAGAGTTTTAAAAAGTACGGCACTGGAGATTGAGCTCAGAGCAAATACTTTATCACTAAGCTATCTTTTCCCTTTAAATTTTCATTTTAATTAATTAATTTATTTATGGAGACATATACTTCTACCTTGACCTCCTCACATAATGGTCTCTACCTCCCAAATGGTATCATCATACCCAACTCCTTTTGTATGTTATTTTGAGACAGGCTCATATTAGGTTACCCATACTCGCCTTAATCTTGCAATTCTACTTTTGCTCCCCCACATCCCTTGGTGTCTGACACAGGATCTCACTATGTAGCTCAGGCTGGTCTGGAACTTTCTATCCTCTTTGACTGCCAAGTATTGAGATTGCAGATACGTGTCACCCTGCCAACCTGTAATGTAGTGTTCTCTCTCTCTCTCTCTCTCTCTCTCTCTCTCTCTCTCTCTCCTCTCTCCTCTCTCTCTCCCTGAGACAAGGTCTATTGTAGCCCAGGCTGGCCTCAAACTCCCTGTGTGATCAAAGATGACCTTGAACTTCTGATCCTCCAGCTTCTACTTCCCTAGTACTGAGATTATGAGGATACACCAATAAGTCAGATTTTATGCAGCCCTGGGAATAGAACCCAGGGCTTCTTACTTGCTAGGCAAGCCCTCTACCAACTGAACTACATTACCAGGCCCTGTCTGTAACTTCTTCTTCTTCTGAGACAGGGTTTTTCTGTGTAACAGCTCCAGCTGTCCTGGAACTTGATCAGTAGACCAGGCTAGCCTTGAACTCACAGAGATCTTCCTGCTTCTGCCTCCCAAGTGCTGAGACCAGAGGCGTATATCACCACCACCGGGCTTAATTTTTAATGAATATATATTATAGATATTTTCTATAAGCAACAGAAACTGTGATTTAATAAAGGCTGAGAAAGAAGATAGAAAGACGGTTTGGACCCACCAGACCTTCGTATTTATCAATAGGGTACGTTTTGGTAGAACACCAGATGTCTTAGTCACTGTTGCTGTGATGATACTCTGGCCGAGGCAACTTTTATAAATGAAAACATTTAGCTGGGGCCTCATGTACAGTTTCAGAGGTTTAGTTCATTATTATCATGGCAGAGAGCAAGGTGACATACACACAGGTAGGTGATAGAGCAGTACCTGAGAGCTACATCCCGATCCATAAACACACACACACACACACACACACACACACACACACACGAGAGGTGGGGAGAGCGCCATGCTGGGCCTAGTGTAAACTTTTTGAAACCTGAAAGCCCACCCCCAGTGACACCCTTCCTCCAACAAGGCCACACCTCCTGATCCCTCCCTAGCAGTGCCAGGCTCTGGTGAGGCTTTCTTTTCCCAGCAGGAGGATGGTTAGTTTGAGCCCCCTGGGCTATGTAGCCAGCTCAGGGCTGGTCTCAGGTCTGAGGGGAGATCCTCCATCAAAACATAAATGAATAAACCAACAAAGACTAAGGCTGTGGCTCAGGTTGTGGATTGCTTGCCTAACACCGGCAAACCCTCTGTTTGCTCTCCAGTACTGCTTAAAATAGGATCCTGTAATCCTAACACTCCCGAGTTAGAGGCAGGGGGATCAGAAGTTGGAAAAGATCCTCCCCAGGTAGTGAGTTTGAGGCCTGGCTGTGTTACATGAGAATTCATGGATATAGAGAGGAAAGAATATGAAAATGAGAAAGAGTAAACAAAACATCAAATGTTCCCCCCCTTTTTTTGCACAAAATCTGCATTCCTTCAAAGCGCCTTTAAACAAATGCCTGGGAGCCTAGACTCTGTGTGGTTAGGTGTGGTGGTGTGTACCTATAATTCCAGTACTTAGGAGGCGATAGATAGCAAGATCAGGAGTTCAAAATCAGCCTGAGCTACATGAGACCCTGGCTCAAGACACAGAAACAACACCAAAACCTAAAACAGCGACAAAAAAGCCAGACAATGGATTTAGACCTTGTGATCTTCTCACTGGTCAGGCTTACCCGAGCCTAGTTCCCTCCTTCCCTCCTTCCCTTTATCTTTCCTTCCTCACTTCCTTCTTCCCTTCCTTCCTGCATTGCTAGCCCAGGCTGGCCTAGGGCTTATTGGCTCAGACTAGCCTCAAACTCAGAGATGCTCCTGGCTCAGCCTCCTGACTACTGAGGTTACAGGGGTGAGCGACCACAGGGGTAACCACTAGGGGCAGCTTGATTTCTGCTTGCTACTGGGTGAGCCCTGAAGGCTTTCTCACCTGGTTCACAACCTCCACCCAGGGGAAGCGGTGCCTTTTACCATTCTATTGTGCTTGGCGCTGCCTCCCTCCCACACAAAGCCCTCCAGCTGAGTGTTTGCTTTGTAGGCTGTGGGGGGGATTAATACGGTTATTTTAGACCGTTAACACCAGGGGTGGGATGCACATTGAAGATTATAGTAATAAATGAAGCTTTGGCTTTACTCTCTCTCTCTCCCCATCCCCTGGTCCTCAGTATGGGGTAAAGGCACAGCGCCAAGCTGTGTGCAGAGTGCCACAAATAACCACTTATTAAACTGTGGCAGCCCGGGTTGGGAGGAATGGGCAGGGGCTGTTGATTCACTGCATACCGTGATTTGGCATGGGCAGGGAATTCTGCCCCTGACTCTAGTGGGGGGTCCCGCTATTCTAGGAAACAGTGGGGTGGCTGAGGGGAGAGGTACAAACCAGGGGACTATTCCAGGAAACAGGGTGGGGTGGCTAAAGGGAGAGGGACAAACAAGGGGACTCTGGGGCTGTTTTGGGGTACAAGGCGTCTGAGCTCTCAGGCACCTGGTCTATATTTTCTGTATGAGGAGAGTAATGTGCATATGTAGAAACTAGAGTACAGGTTCCCAGTTCTTTTTCTGTTATTATCTTGAGGGTGACCTTGAGCAAATCTTTCTAAAGCAGCCGGAGGACTGCAGCTGGTTGCTGCGCTGGAAGAGTTGAAACTCTTCCAACAGTACTCCAAAAACAGCAGTCCAGGGGCGCGCCGGGGCACGGGATCCCGGCGGCTTCTGTACCGGGCCTTTAACGGTGACTTTCCTTTAACCCCGGTGGAGGACACTTCGGCACTCATAGACACACCCCCGTGGGCGGGGAGGAACAAAGTTTCTTACCACCGCCTGGAAAAAGATCCACTAACTCGTGCCCCCTTTAAAATATCCACTGATTTGTGCTCCCTTTTACTTTCTGAAAATGGAGTTGGTGAAGTCTCTGATTCACGACAATACAAAAACAAAAGGCAGGGCTCTTTTCAAGCTTATTATGTAGAATGTTTTCGGCTTCAAGTTCTTTTTGGGTTTCTCTGCCCTGGTCTACAGAGACAGAACTGTGGGTATCGTGGCTGCTCATCGAAGTTACGTGATTGGGGCAGTACTAGAATTTGTGTTTCCACCTGCACAGTACCCAAGTCATGTCATGCAAATACAGGGTGCATTTGGCCCCGGTACAATGGACTGATGCTCGCTTCTGAAGAGTCCCGGGGTGTAAAGAGTATGGAGCAAGCTTACCTTTCCGAAAACTGGCTTTAACTTGCTGCTTGGAAGAGGAGTGTGTGTGGGGGTGGGGTGGGGGGGTGACCCCGCCTTCCCCTTCCGGTGGTAATGGTTGCTGTGGTAACACCACTAAAAGGGAAAGCGACAAAGGAAGAAAAGAAACAAGGGAAGGGGTCAGGGTGAGTTGGTCCTGTGTAACACTGAGTTAAGCGGTACCTACTCCTCAATAGTGGCAGCTGGGAAGGAGCAGCTAAGCAAGACAATGCTGACTCATATAATTATTGTTGAATTTTGTTTTCTTTCTTTTGTGTTTTATTTCTTTTTTTAAAGACACGGTTTCATTATATAGCTCATATTGGCTTCGAACTCATGATCTTCTTGACTCAGTCTCCCCAGTGCTGAGATTACAGGCATGCTATACCATGCTTGAACACAATTATCTTTTGGGTTTTTTGTTTGTTTGTTTTTGTTCTTGGGTTTTAGTTTTTTTTTTCTTGGGGGTAGGGGTTGGGTGTCCCAGGACATGGCAATCAGTGCTCTTTTTTTTTCTTCTTTTCTTTTTCTTTTCTCTCTCTTTTTTCTTTTTCTTAATGAAGGTTCTCTCTATTATGTAGCTTTGGCTGTCCTGGAACTTACTATGTAGACCAGGCTGGCCTCGAACTCTCAGAGATCTGCCTAACTCTGATGTGGGAGGTGATGTATGCGGTGAATATGTTTTATTGCCATTGGTTAATAAATAAGAAGCTTTTGGCCAATGACTTAACAGAATAAAGCCAGACTGAAAGAGATATGTAGAGAAAGTAGGTGGAGTCAGAGAGAAGCCATATAGCCACTTTTGTTCTTTAAAAAGATATGATGTGGGGATGCCCCGGGCGGCCTG